CAGGGTAAATGAATAATTCTCATGGTTTTCCTTAGAAATGGTTTCTTTTTGCAAGAAAGAAATGGGTTTTCTTTCTTGCAAACATCTTGTAGCCTCAGGACACTACTGAGGGAGTTATGAGGTGGTGTGCTGATTTCAGCTGGGCCAGAGTTAGTTTTCTTCACAGTGACTGGTACAGGGCTATGTTTTAGATTTGTGCTGAACAGAGGGTTGATAACACAGAGATGTTTTGTTATTGCTGAGCAGCACTTACACAGAATGAAGATGGTCTTTTCTCCTTTTTTGTGCTGCCACAAGGTCAAGGAAGCTGGGAGGAGACACAGTTGGGACAGGTTACCCAAACTGATCAAAGGGATACTCCAGACCACATGACATCAAGCTCAGTACATAAAGTGGGGGGAAGAAGGAGAGGACATTTAGAGTGATGGTATTTGTCTTCCCATGTAGCCATTACACATGATAGAGCTATACACTCTTGGAGATGGTTGAACACCTGCCTGCCCATGAGAAGCTGCAAATTAATTCCTTGTTTGGCCCTTCTTGTGTGTGGGCCTTTTGCTTTCCCTATCAAACTGTCTTTTTCCCAACCCATGAGTTTCCTAGCTTTTTCCCTTCCAATTCTCTCCCCTATCTTGTAAGTGGCTGTGTGGGGCTTGGTGGCAGGCTGGGGTTAAAGCATGACAGGTGGGCAGCTTACACACAGCAGACCCTTTAGTTTTGATGATAAAAGACAAATCAGGAAAATTTACTTTGAATATCTCTGTGAGAAGTAGCCTGTCTTACTCAAATGCTTGGATGTATCTAAATGGACTATATAACTATAAATTAGGCCCTAAAACATCTTTTATCAGTTTTGATTTAGAGTAGCTCTGTTACTTCTTTCTCTGTGAGAAAAAGGTTAAGTGTGTGTATTGAATTTATGTGTTCTTCATGAAGATCTCTTAAAAGTGGTCCAATGGCTGCAGAAAACTGAAATGGTTTCCTTCATATTGACTCTGTTCACAGTTAGTATCAGCAGCTGCTTTGAGACAGCGATAATTTCTGAGTATAAACAATTTCTTAGGTGCATTGTGAGAGAGCTTGTGGGAGGACTGGGGTGATTTGCAGGATTAAACAGGAAGTAGTTTCCAACAATTCAGAAATTTATAGAGATTTCACAGGGATCTTCCAGAAATAAGGGAACTTAACTACTGGATTTTAATTGTAATGTATAATAAAATTATTTCAAAATTTGTTCTAAGTTGTCAGTTGAGTAACAACTTCTCTGGAGTGCCTGCAGTGACAGCAGGCACTGAATTTTATGCAGCAAGGAAATCTGTTCTGAATTGCTATACAGGTTTACTCTTCGTTTTGGTTGTGGGAGTAGCTGTGGGCATCTAGAATGTAAATGAGAAAGGACTTTTTTACTTTACTCTTAGTAGATGTAAGCAGCTTTCATACTGGAAGACTGAAAAAACCATAAGTGTATCCACTGTAGTCCAAGGGTGTATCACACTTCTCACTCATCTGCTTACTGTTTACTAACATATTTTTTTCCTATAAAATTAAACATATATTTTCTTAATCTAAAGCCATTGCCTATCCTGTATTGCAGGAATGTTTGCTTGTTTCTGTTAATCTTTCTGGATCATTTGCGAGTTTGATTTTTGAAAGATATCTACCTCTGCAGTTGGGAATGCAATTTGATTTGTCTCCTGTTTTATTTCTCATTGACTAGGCAAAACCTGTTTGGCTGTTTAAAAATAAGTTTAGTAACTATACAATGCAAAAAAGGAGGTAAAATATAGACATGACTGACTTGAAATGCGTGTTGTATCTCCTTCATCCCTACAGAAGTGGAGAATTGTCTCTGGTTTTGGGAGCTTACAGTACCAATGATGGGAGTGAGCTTTATAACAATTTAACTAATTTACAAATCAGTTTTGAGACAGGGTAAGCAGCATGACAGAAGTATGTCTTCCAGACAGATTTATATACTGGCAAAGTAGTGACTGCACAGAAGAGGTGAGAACTGCATCATTCACAGGGGGCATGAGGATGGAGCAGAGATTTTTATGAGAAGTTGACTATAAGGAGAAAGTCTGGCAGAATGGAAAGAGGAGCATATTTGTAGCTAAATATTCCCTGTAGATCTTCAGGATGCTCTCAGCTAAATATTGGGGTTGAAGAAGTGTGACTTTTATTAGGATTCACCAGAAATAAGTCTCAAGAAGATTTTGAATGAGAGTCTGTGTGGGGGGTGGGGGGTGACATATTGGAGTGTGAAGGCTTTCTTTTGCCTTTTTTTTTTTTTTTTGGTGGAGTGGGCAGCATGGTGGGAGTGTGAAAAAGTAGCAGGAGAAGGGGACAAATAGGCGTTTCTGACTAAGCTGTTGTGACAGGAGGCAAGGTCCAAGGAATAATTTAGGTTGGTAAACCTTTAAGACCAGACCTCATCTGATATGGTAATGTGGAGGCAAGTACTGTAGAGGTTTGCAGGAAGGATGTGATTTGAGATTGAACAGATGTTTATTAGAGTTCCCAGAAAGCATTATTGTGTGTACTGAGATGAAGTTTTAACATTTAGAGTGTGGGAAAGTGCTAAAAGCCATTGGACAAAGAAAACTTTTAGATATCCTTTAAGCTGGTAAAAGTTTAGTGAATAAGATATGAACAAAAGTGTGAGGCTTTGTTGTGCTGTAAAATTAAATAATGGGGTAAACATAGGGTTTGGAAAAAGAAATGACAAGCTACAGAAAGGGTTGGTGTGAGAGCAGCAAGAGGTCTATTTTGTCCCTACTAAGCTTTAGCTTGCCATCACTCATCCAGGATATGTGCTAGCTGACAAGACAGCAGATAAACTAATAGGTGTGAAAGCATCAACAATCTAAGGAGTAAAGCAGATGGGAGACTGTCAAATAAGAACACAGTAGGTGAGAAGCAGCAGACTTGCAAGTTCTTAGGACAGGGACATAGCAAAAACAGAATCTCAAATATTTTGCTGCCCAGCAGCCATGTCGCCTATCTCTTTTCACATCGCAGTGGAGGCTGTTCTTTCCTCGCCTTGTGAGTCCTTCACTCTCATGCACAGGAGAGATGAATCTATCTTGTGTTGTATTAACATAAATACTGCACTTGAAATGCAATTTAATTAAATTAATTAAGCTGTTAAAATGCAAAAGACCTGATAAAATGTACTTTGATGTGTTATAGAATCTGTAGGTAACTTCAGGCCTCATAGGCTCATATTTCTCTATGGTAATGGAAAATTCTCCTCCAACTTAGTTTTTTACAAGGTTAGTAATTTCTTTCCATGGAGAGATATCTAGACTTTTGATCCACTGGAGTTGCACTGAGGTCCTATTTAGAGGTCTAGTTTTCCCTATAGCACTGGAAGTGCATTGTCTTCTTCTGCTGTTTTTGATCAGGCACATGGGAGAGATATGTACAGGCTACCAGTGGATCTACTTCAGAGTTGCTGGTATTTAACTATGGCTTCTTTTCTCTAAGAGCATCAGTTCAAGCTAGGGGCACGAAGATGAGTACAACTGATATCTGGACCTCCCCTTTCCATGCTTGAAGGATGCTATCTAGCCAGGAGAGGGATTTGTATCAGAAATGTCAGCTGAGTGATTTTCCTCAGCTTCAAACTTTCAAGCAGCTCAGAAGCCCTGAATAGAGGATGATATAAAAGTGGTATTTAACACAGCCCTGTATCAATGGTTACACATCACTTGCTTGAAGCTCTCCCTCACTCAGAAGATTTGGCTTCAATATAAATAGAAGCTGAAGGTTTCCTAGAAGAAAAATCATGGGTGAAGATGAAAAAATTTGAGCACACTGCAGCTGAGACAATTCTTCATTTGTATAACTCTGTTATTATTTCTTTTTTTTGTTATACGTAATTGTTTCTCAGTTCGGGTTTTACATACTCTTTTCCCATTCCATTTTGTCCTTAGAGAGTTAAGAATAGTCTACCTTTTAAACTGTTTTCTTCAGCCAGGCCCTTCTGTAATTTAATTTAAATACAAAAAGCTGTATGATTATGTTATTCCATTTCTTGACATAAAGTTGATAAAATTTTAAATATATTTTAAATGGAAAGGGACTGAAGACAATCAAATAAATTTAGAAAACATATCTATCTCCTTTTTCTGAAAAAACAAACAAACAAACCAAAGACTTTTAGCAAGTGGTAAGAGGTGCCTCTTATAAGATTATTGAAGCCGAATTTTTGCCCCAAAAAGCACAGAGAGACTGCTTTAGAGATGAAAATTTGTTTCCTTAAAGCAGGAGGTATTTTAATGCAATGCGTTGGAGAGTTCCCAGGTCACCCTGGACAAAGAACTCTGTCTTGTACAATCAGCACAGTTCTTTTATACAGTTTAGAGCATAAGATTACATCATAAACATGCATATTCATTAAATTGCAACATCTACTTGTAATATTCATATATAGGCGGAGTCTTCAATTTGGGGAGGTTTAGAGGTGGGAGTTCCTGTAGCCTTCATCATGGGCAGTGGTCGTTCGTTGGTCTTCCTTGTTGTAAACTTTTGAACTTTCCTCAGATCTTTCCCTAATTTGGATAGTTGGCAAGTGTGGTAGGGTCGGGTTGACTTTTGGCTCGTTCTAAGATTTGCTGATGTTGCTATCTCTTTGTTTTATGTTTTAAATGTTCTATCTTGTCAACATGTTCTGTTCCTCAGACAATTTATTGCTTCTGTGGTTTCCTAATGCTAGGGTTTTGGAATTACTTCCACAATTTTGTGTTTGAGTTAACCTTTTGTTTCTCAAAGACTGCCTCAATTGAGTGGCTTCATTTCCCCCCTTTTCTTATAACTTATGAATTATTTCGTCAAATTGTAATTCCAGGGGGTGTTGGTACGACTGTACCATTGCCCAAATCATTTGGGTCTTTGTCACTAAGGATTTCAGTTTTCGCCATAGGTATATGTTTGTGAGAGTTAGCAAAAGCATAGCTATGGTTATAGTTAGTATTGGGTGCACCAGGTAATGGAATACCTGTGTTGCTGTTGGGGAATACCCTGTAAAGATATCCCACCAGTGATGCTGGCCTACTTGTTCTACTTTGGTTACTTCTCTATCTTTATGTGTTCTGCAAGGGAATGCTTCAGGTCACTCAGAAAATGTGTCATTATGTACCGTAATATTCTGTTAAAAAACATTTAAAAATAGTTTTAGGAAACCATTAAATCTTATCAGGCAGTTTCATTTGGACCTTTGTGCATATGGGTTTCTAAAGTATGACTTTTGAGATTGACAAAAAGTTTTCAATGCAGTGGTAAAAATCTGGCTCTACCCTGATAGTCCTGAGCCATAGTGATGCTTGCAATTGGATAAGGGCCAGAAAAATCCTGGTACTGTGTCCTCTGTGAACGATGGTTATAACAATTCCCATGGCTGCTCCTTCTTGACATTTTGTGGATAACAGTGTTGAATCTGTGCCTTCTGCTTTATACTCCTGGGAAAGCAATGAAAATTGGACATCCGTATCAGCAGCTTTGTACACATACTTCACTCATATGTAGCCTATCTTATTTGTAAGAATTACTGATGGAAAAGAGAAATATAAAACATCTGTTCTGCCTGAGTCTGGGTAGAAGATGCTTTATCAAATGGCATCTGGGAGAGTGCTGTGGTAGAGGCACATCAGCTTTTGAATTCGATAGAGATCACTGGCATGCTACAGAAAAGTCACTTAGCAGATGGTAAATTAAAACAACTTCTGTCCCCTAACAAGGTGGGATGGCTTTAAATCACTGAACCGAATGTTACAAAATATATTTGTCAGTTATGCAGTCTTAATGAATATTTCATAATAGCACAGTTTCCATTGTTGGGCAGAACTTTGCATTAGCTCTGAGGTGACAAACACACAAACCAGCTCCTAAAGCTTGCCTGGGCTCTGGTCAGAATAAACTAATTGCTTGCAATATTTTTGTGCATAATAATTTTTTTGTACTTTCTTTTTGTACTTCCTCCTATGGTTTTGGTTAGTTGCTTAGAAGACATCTTGGTGTTTTGTTTTTTTTTTTTTTTTTTTCCAAACAATGGAAATGGATAAGTCTTCATGGGGATTTGAATTATGTATTGTAAATATCTGATATAAGACAGGAGGGAGACTATTCTTCTATCTGCTTGAGCAAAGTCCTTCCTCTTATGTCTGGTTTTAGTTTGGGTGGTTTTTTTTTTTATGACTACTGTTCACCGTACTCAGTAGTTCATTTATGTAATCAAGGCAGTCAATTTTCATTTGTGTGTAAGTAGTTGTATGAAAACTAAAGGTTTGGGAAGCTAGGTACATGTTTCCTACTCTTTTCCTAATCCGCTAATGTTGTATTATGAAAAGGCAATGCAAAATCCTGAAAGAGTATTAAGTCAATTGTGGGAGACAGTGTTTGGGTGCTGTAGGACATTGGGAACAGCACATGTGACTTTTTGTCAGAGATCCTGTATACTTCTCTTTGAGACTTGACCCTAGCCCTTGTTAGCCAGAAGCTGTCCATCAATTCTACTTAAGTACATTTTCTTGTGCAGAAAATACTTGCAGATAGTACTTAAATTTCCCTAAACATACTTTTTTTTTTTTCCCCCCTGAAGTATTCAATCATGAATACCTGGGCAGAAAATCAAGTACCTGGCAGAGGCAGATGCTTAATTTATTTACATTTCTTAAAAATAACATCCTGGAATGAAGGCAAAACTTGGAAAGGAAAAAATTTCTCCTGTCGAGAACACAGCTCTCTCAGGCAGAGCAGAACAGCTGTTGTGAGACTCTGCTGGAGGTGCTGAGTGGGCTGTGGTGCTATGCAGTGACCTATAAGAAGGGAAACAAGTTGTGAATAAAAATAAACATAAATGTCAATGATGATGAATAGAATTAAGGTTTGTTTGCAGACCACATGGGAATATTTTTATATACATATATATATATATAAAATGCTTGCATGTTGAGATGCGTGTTCAAAACAGAAGGGCATATAAAGAAGCATCAAGAATTATACAAAGATCTTCATGTTTAGGTTAATAATAAGGAAGCATGATCAAATAATGTAAAGTGTTTAGATTATTCATTTGAAGGAAGAAGTCATAGAAACATAGATTAGTTTGGTTGGAAGGATCTTTAAAGATCGTCTAGTTCAAGCCCCCTGCAATAAGGAGGACACCTTCCACTAGACTAGACTTTGAGGTTACTCAAAGCCATATCCAACTTGACCTTGAATACTTCCAAGAATGAGGTATTCACAGCTTCACTGGGCAGTCTGTTCCAGTGTGTCACCACCCTCTTCATGAAGAACTTCTTATTTATAGCCAATCTGAATATCCCCTCTTTCTGTTTAAAACTGTTGCCCTTGTCCTGCCACTGCAGGCCCTGATAAAAAGTCTAGCTTCATCTTTCTTATGTGCCCTCTTCAATTACTCAAGTTCTGCAATAACATCTGCGTTTTCTTCTCTAGGCTGAACAAGCCCAACTCTCTCCATATGTTTTCGTAGGAGAGGCACTCCAACCCTCTCACCATTTCTGTGACCCTCCTTTGGACTCACTCTACCAGCTCCACATCTTTCTTGGAGACACAGAAAGCAATGCAAAGTACTGTTGAATGAAATAAGTGAAACATGCAATGCTTTAGCATCAGATCAAATCAGTTTCAGAGGTGGTGAGGAATGATTGCTTGAGTATGTTTCACACAGTCACAGAATATGCTGAGTTGGAAGGGACCCACAAATATCATCAATGGTCTTGCACAGGGCCATCCCCAAGAGTCACATCATGTGCCTGAGAGTACTGTCCAAACATTTCTTGAACTCTGTCAGGCTTGGTGCTGTGACCACTTCCCTGGGGAACCTGTTCCAGTGCCCAACCACCCTCTGGGAGAAGAACCTTTTTCTAATCTCCAGCCTAAACCTCCCCTGGCACAACTTCAGGCCATTCCCTTGGGTCCTGTCACTGGTCACCAGAGAGAAGAGATCAATGCCTGCCCCTCCTCTTCCCCTCACAAGGAAGTTGTGAGTTGTGACGGTTTGGACTTGGCTCCCTGCCAAATGCCCGAAAGTTAGGACAGCAGCCCCCTTCCCTCTTCCTTTTTTCCCTAAGGTTAAAGAAAAAGAAACTATAAAAATTAAAGAACCCAAAGTCAAGCTGCTTATGTAAAAAAATATATCTATATTTACGTAAATTACAGTTATGTACAGTTAATATGCTATAGACACAGTAAAAGGGGGTCCACCCCTCCCCCCCCCCCTCCGAAGGGATAGGGAAAAGGGAAAAAAGGGGATGAAAGGGAACAAAAGGGACACCGAACAGGTATACTAGATCAAACTATACTAATAACTAACAAAACAGATCTCACCACGTCCCTTAGAACAGCAGGATCGGCAGTCACAGTCAGCACTCTCCAAACCTCCACGTGGTAGGATGGTGGACTCTGCAGGCCTCAGCCTTAGATAAGCGAGACCAGCGCAGGGACCCTCTGTTCCCAAACCTCGCCGGAAGAGAAGAGAGCGAGGTCTCTAATCTCCGACTTATTTATACTCTGGTTTATATAAAAATTGTATGAAATACTGGGTACTTGGTTACTTCCTTGGTTACAAACTGGTCACCAGGAAGGCCTAGACTACAACCATCACATGAGTGCAATGAGGTCTCCCCTCAGTCTCTTCTCCAGGCTGAACAGACCAAGTGCCCTCAGCTGCTCCTCATACAGCTTCCCCTCAAGGCCCTTCACCGTCCTTGTTGCCCTCCTGTGGACACTCCCTAAGAGCTGAATACCTTTCTTATACAGTGATGCCCAAAAGTGCACACAATATTTAAGGTGAGATGGCAATTAAGTTTTTCTGTGATTTACATCTTAAGTTTTAATGAGTAATAAATACAAAAATAGTACTTGATGAAAAATTTTTAATTAAGTTTTTGTTGTTGTTGTTAAAATGCTTTTAAAAATAAATAGGAAAGACTGGTTGTGCAAATCAGTAAATGTTTTAGCTAAGTCTGCCTGGGATTATACCTTAAAGTCTTAGTATTTTTAAAGCTCTCATCTCATCATGCATGTTCATTTGAGTTACTGAAAGAGAGAAGGTTTTCATAATATCAACCATTTTCTCCAAAAATATTGGGATTTTTTCTTGCTGAAATGGTAACCTATTCTCTTTGGACTCTGTTTTAGAAACGTATTTTGTTTAAAGGCACTAACGAGTGCTCTTAAAGCATGGTTCTATTTCTTCTTAGCTCCTCAATGATGTTTGCTTTGTCTGTAACTGCAATGAGGAATTACTGAAAATAAAATGGAAAATAACCTTAGGTGGTAAATATATACTCATTATTCTGAATACATGTTAATTATTCTGTGATACTTAGTCTAAATCCTAATCTCTGCTTTAGAGGCTTTATTAAGAGAGGAAAAGAAAGCCGATAAAAAAGGTTATACAAAAATGGAAGACTCTATTCTAAAAGTAAACAGGTATCTGAATCTTTTCCTTATAGTTTTTAGGACACTGTCCTGATGTTAATCTGAATAATTGGAATTTTGAATTAAAAACTGCTGTTCTGCAGCCTGATGTGTAGATGTCACTATTTTAGCAAGGCAGGTATATTAGTCATTCATTAGGTACATTTAATCTGGATGAAACTCAAAAAAAAAAAATAAATTGCAAAAGTTGGTAGGATTTGGAACTGGGCTGGAAAATGTTTCATCATGGGTTAGGCAGAATAAATTTACTGCAGATCTATATACTGGACTGGGTTTGTCTAAGAGCAGACAAGATAAGGGCTTTTGCCCTGCTTGACTAGCTCTCATGTAAGCTTCGTTGTTTGTATACAGTGCTGCATTCTCTAGGTCTGCCTTTCCTTCTTGGCAAAGAGATTGCTGCTGGTCCAAGGATATTGGGCAGAAGGTTGTGGTTTGTGCTGTGAGGATGGTCACAGTTCTGTTGTTGCAGTCTCTGGCATTATTGACCAAGGTCCCTGTGCGCTCCTGGCATTTGTCTCCGTGCATCCTTCATCTCCAGGTTTTTCTCCAGCAAGGATCAGTTTCTTTGTCTCTCCTAGCTCTCCTCCTGTTTTCTAGACAATTTGTTTTTGGGAACCCTTCCTTTTCGCATCAGCTTTTCTTTACAGAATCTCAGGTCTCCCTGGTTTCTACAGGGACAGTCCGTATGCAGAAGCACAGTTTGTGATCAGCTTCCTATCTACGGTTATGCCTCAATTTTTTTGTGCATTGGAAAATTCAGGATGTGCTGCTTTTGTTTAGATGTTATTGAAATATGCAATGAACCTGTATTTGTTGCAAGTAGCAAATGAGTTTTGGATGTTCACTGCCTACTTACACACCATCACCACCACCTCCCCCCAGTTATCTGCCCCCATGTTTGCATTCACAGCATAAGATACATGTTGCCTATAACTGTGGAAAATTGAGTCTTAGGGAGTGAGAGTTTAAAACTACCTGCTTGGCAGTTTTGTTTTGAGACCAGTGCTGAAATTGAGACAGTGCAATTCCCTTATTTTGAATAGGCAAATATCCACTGCTCTTTAGTCAAGGGAACAAGACTTGTGACAGGCCATTACTCATTCGTGTAATTATCTTTCTAAACTGCGAGTACAGAACCTTGTTATAGAGCTGGTTTCAACAGCATTAAATTTAGTTTTGTTTCCCAAGTGTACATAATTGTTTTCCAAACTGAGCTATTTTTCCATCTCCCTGAAGGTAAAAACATAGCTTTCAGATAAATATGCAATAAATTGCAAGTCACATGAGCTGGTTCATTTTTAGCATAATGTTTCTTTTTGTTAGGCACCACCTGTACTGCAATTCAATGTAGAGGTCTGGTTAGAGTTAGAGGGAGGTCAAGCAGAGCTGGTTACATTTTTGCTTTGAAGCCAGATTTACAGGTAGAAAGTACCATCAATTTTTTTTTCTTAAAAATTTCAGATTTTGCTTTTAAACAGCTTGAGGTTGATATTCAACAGCTCTGAATTTCCAGGTAATTACCATAGCTCTCTCAGCAGGAAGGTTGTCTTCCCTGACAAAGTTGTCACTGTTAGTGATATTTTCTCTTGGACTCACATCTGCTACAACTGCTGTGGTATTATTCTGACAGGTCAAACAGGTGGATATCAAACAAAAGCTCTGTCTCCCAAGGTGGTACCAGATGTGATTGTAGGAAAAAATAAATTTTTTTTTTTCTCACTTATTTAATTTCTTTTTCTGGGTGTTGTGTGCAGAGCCCAGAGGGCCACATTCTCCAGACATAGCATGTATCTGAAAATTATTGTTTCAGATATGCTTTTTCATATTATGTACAATTTATTCAGCGCCCACGAAAGAGTTAAGGAATTACATACTCATTGTGAATAAACGGAGTATGATTTGAATTATTGACCACCTGTAGAGAAAGCAGAGAACTTCCTGCTATCCTGTTATGGATTCAAATTGACAGCCTGAATTCAGGTTGACATTCTCCATGTGAAATGATCTGGTAAGATGATGATCAAATTTCCATTATTTCGTTACAGAAATCTCCAATTAGAATCATCATGATGGTAGGTTTGGTGATGAGCACCTAAAGAAATACACTTGGTCTGTCAGACTGTAAGGATATGATAATTTTAATTAAAGCCAGTTAAGAAGGGATCTAAATGTCAAAGGTCCTACATAGTCCAGAAGTTATTTCTGCCTCCAGGTTTTTGAGAAATGTGGCACTAACAAATACTGTGAAATTATCATTAGTACTCTGGCTGCATTTGGAAGAGAACAACAGGAGTTTCTAAGGACCTCACAGTCTCAGGGGGTAAAATTAGGATGCTAAATTGGTAGCTGTAGATGGTAGATGTAGAAGGTACCTGTAGATGATATTAGAGAAATTTAAAAATTCCACATTACTGAAATAATTTATATTTCCCATTCATTACATCTATTTGAATAATAGTTCTTTTTTGTTTCATTTTAAAATTAACCTAAATTTCTATGCAACACTTTCAATTACAATTGTGACCACTAGAGTAATTAGAGAGTTAGAAAGAGAAGGCAAGCTTTGTGATCCAGCCAAGACGTTTTTAAGTGCTTCTTGGGGATGGAATAGCTTCTTAGGTACATGTATAATTAGGGAGGATTTTTTAGTGCTTAAGGAAAAAGAGTATTTGTACTAATGACAGTAGTTACTTAGAACATTCTTGTCAGCTCTGTGGTTATTTTTCAAGGGTGCAGTCTGCATACTTTAGCTTCCTTCCCCTACCAAAAAAACCCCCAGAACAACCAATGAAAAGCCACAAATCAAGCCCCACAAGAAAAATGGACTGTATATACTCTGAAGGCAAGATTAAAACCAAATAATTTCTTCTATTTTTCTACTAAAAATAAGACTGTTATTTCTTAGAACATACAGTAGTTAAAAGTGTAGCTATACATTACGCTTCATTATTTTTAATACCAGTATCTGGCTGCCTAATTCAGGGACGTGAACGAGAAGTAAGCATTGAATTTAACCTTCTAATTGTAATGTTTTGGGTCAATAGTCCCTTTGGGTCTGTACACTGGAATACTTTTGTCCTTTTTGAGTGCATTTCTTTGGAAACAGACCTTGCTGTTTTCATTACTGTCTATATGATACTGCTTGTTGTAATACATTGTGGTTGCAGATGTGTGGCAGTCCTCACTTTTCTAGCGTGATGTCTTTTGGCTGCTTGGGCCTTCCACCATTTTCTGACATGAATCTGGCCAAAATCAGTGTTTATGAAGCAAAATGTCTTAGTCTTTCTTACACTGCAAGAGTGCAATAGAATCACAGCTATGGAATGACTGAAGTTGGAAGGGACCTCAGGAAGTTCTTGTCCAGTGCTCATGCTAAAGTAGAGCCATCCAGAACCAGTTGCCCAGGATGGTGTCCAGGCAGTTTAGAATATCTTTGGGGATGGAGACACCCCCTGGGCAGCCTGTGCCAGTGCTGAGTCTCCCTCACAGTGAAAAAGTGGCTCCTGATGTTTAGAAGAAAGCTCCTGTGTTTCAGTTTATGCCCATTGCCCTGGTCCTGTCACAGGACGCCACTGAAAGCCTGGCTCTGTCCTCTACACACTCTCCCTTCAGGGATACCTATACATCAATAAGAGGATCTCTCACCGTACTCTCACATGAAAGATGCTTCAATCCCTTCGACATTTTCATGATCTTTCATAAGAATGTCTCCAGTATGTCCATGTCTCTTTTGTACCGGGGAACACAGAACTGGACAACTTCAAGAGTTGTCTTTTGCTGAATAGAGAGGAAGGATCATCTCCCTTGACCTGCTGGCAACAGGACAATGTTGGCCTTTCCTGCCACAGGGACACGTTGCTTGCTCGTTTTCTACTCGATTAGTTTCCCTTTACTGCATGCTATGTTTTGTGTCACTCTTTTCTCTGTGTCTTGGTTTTGAAAATAGGTTACTGGCAGCAATTATTTCAGCCTTGCTAGTAACATAGTTCTCACTGTCAAGTCTTGGACAGCTGTGCCCTTGTTTCCCCTCAGGAGACTGAGGTGCAAAAGTCCGTCTTAATCCAGTT